GGGAACAAAACAATTTTTTTTTTTTTTTTTATTCTGCCTTTTTCTTCCTCAGGTAGGAGGGTGTCATAGACCAAGCTATGCTCAAATGCTCCAATCATTATTACAAATCATGTAAATGATTCGTAAGGAAAGGAATTTTATCATCCTAACACAGGACTTTTTTGAATGACTTCCCTCTTTTTTCTTTTTTTTTTTTTTACCAAGTTTAGTTTCTAGAATAGCCTAACATTGCATGTGCCGTGTATGTTAGGCTTTTCTTCCCCTTATAACAATCAGTTCTTGATACTTAAAACTGAAAGAAGTAAGATACAAATTTCCAACATGGAAGAAAATATGAATTGGGCATGTGGACGTGATTTAAAAAATAAATGGCAGAATGGGATATAAAATTACTGTATTATATAACTAAATGTGGGAGTATAAACACTCTTTCATTGTTCACCAAATTGCCAAGAGTTTACATGAGAATCTTTTAAAATCAGATGCCTAAGACATGAGGTATTTGCTTCTATTGCTACAAATGAAGTGCTGGGAGAAGTCATTTTACACCGCAAGTTTCGCAGCCAGTGGGGAAGGAAACGGCCGCTCTGGTGGCAGGGCGGGAGACAAGGGCCTGCTCCAAGCCCACTGCTTGGGCCAGGGCAGGCGAGGAGCAGGGAGAAGGGGATCAATGTTCCCCTTCCCCATAGGAAAGACACAGGTGGAAGAGACGTAGCTGCTTTTTTAGCTGAAGTTGCAGCTCCTGAAGCTGACTTGGAGCTTCATAAATAACGGCTACTTTTATTTTCCTCTCGCAAAGRTGTCGGGCCTAATTTTGTGATCACTGAGCTATGATTTATTTCTTGGCTTGCTCCTGGAGTACTGCAGCATTACTCTTATTCTAAACCGGGCAGATTATATTGGCATAGCGTTTCAGTGATTTGATCGCATTTGTCATGCTTAATTCTACATGCTCACACAGGCTAAATGTATCTGCTTGGCTCATCCTATTAATCTCTATGGTTTGAAACTTTAACATTACTTCTTTTTAAGTCTTACGGCTCTTGTATTTTGCTCATCCCTCCAAGAAAGGTTATGGTGAAAAGGTGCCTTGTTTTGAGGGAACTATTTATGGATTACATAAGGTAATTGTACATCAGGTATTGTGTTAGTTMCCTACTTCTAAGATAAAAGGAACTTAGGACATGGGCAGATTAATTGCTGTGTTAGTGATATGACTCCTCTGAATTGCCAAGTTRCCTATTTTTCAACAGCATTATGCACACACGTATATTGAATCCTTGATATATAGTTCAGATTATAACAACACTGAAAGAATTCAGATTATTTGAAAGCATTATACTTGAAAGAATTTGGTGAGAAAAAGCCTATAGCAGTCCTTGGGAGTTTAGTTATATGAATGAAAATGTTTTTAATGATTTATATCCATTTTCTTCAATAATTTATGTTCATTTTCTTTAAAGTGTGTTTATGCCTAAGGATGTTAATTCAGACACCCCTCACACAGGACTCAGAACAGTCCTGACACGGGTGGGTTTTGGCTCCTTGCTGAACAAAAAAGCTTTTTATCTGTTCTCAAATCTACTCTAGAGGACCAAAGGAACAACAGAGAGTTCACTTGCAGAGAAGATTATTTGATGCTTCCCTGGATAAGCTGTGAAATATTTATACAGCAGAATGCCACTTTGAGCACGTGCGTGCTCATGYGTTATCTGTGTGCAGAGATCCCCGAGCTAGCATCAGCCTGCACCGAGACTGCCACAGGCTACAGTACCGAACCAGGGTATTAACGTGAGCCCCAGTGCAGTGAAAAGCCTAAATTAACAACCCTGGGGTTTAATTGGGAGTAAATGGTTCAGGTGCAGCAGAACAGCTGCATGGATGTGGCCATACTGCTCGCTGTAGGGGTAAGGAATTTTACCAATGTGTGGTGTTGTCTGGAGCTCCTAGGTTCATCTCCCCAGCTTCTCCCTTCCAAATAAGTATCAGAGATGAAAAGTAACCAAAATTGCAGACAGGTCAGGTGAGGCTGGGAGGAAAAAAAAAAGAAAAAGAAAAAAAAAAGAAAATAACTTCTCAATAAAGGAAAAGAACAGACATGGAAGCTTACTTTTTTCCTCCTCTAAAAAAACARAAGTCCTACTACTAGTTTAAATTTTAAAGTGGAATTTGAGAGGAATTTTAAGGCTTTATTTTTCAGAAGCAGGCTGTTCTTCTGAAAGTTTTCATTCATTTCACTTGTTTTAGAAGTAGAGAAAAAGTCACTAACAGCATCATGATATGTTGCTAGAAGCAGGGCAAAAACAGAGCCAGAAGCTTCTTGCCCACTTATACTACAATGTATTATCAGAAATACATGTCTGAGCTGCTTGAAGGTTCTTATGCATTTGAACCTCAAAATTAGAGCAGATCTGTGCCATTTTAACTGACACAAATGAGACACTTTTCTTATAAACAAGCAGCATTACTATATAAGGTGGGAAAATATGTATTCAAAACAAATGCATAGAGCATGTGAATACCACAAGCCAACATTCCCACTAGGAATTAAATTCACAAAGGTATATTACACTGAGGCTTTGAAATATTTTCCTTCAGTCCTTTTTCTTGACCTAAATATATGTCATGAAATAGTTCCTTGGTGTGCAGTATACTTCAGACATCCATACAATAACTTTACAGCATGCATGTTATATAAGCTCTCATACTGTGCTATGCAGTAATACCCAAACTGCCAAGTTTTAAAAAGAAGAGCACTGCAGATTTTACAATATTTTTTCTTCCCTATGGAAAACATTTGGGACTAGAAATTTGAACACATGTAATTAAGAAAGCTGCATTTCCATTCCGTTTTGCCTTTTTACTGTAGGAAACTTTTTTTTTTCAGTCTTGAGGCAGTGCCATAAGAAAATGAGTACATATTTCAGGAGAGCAAAACTCTTGCTATAATGGATTGCTGGGAATGATTTCAATTATTTGTTCTTCATCAACTAATTCTGGGTCCAAGCATCCCAGCTGGTTTATGATGGCTAGATGAGTTGGACAGGCCTTGAGTCATCACAGTTGTCAGATGCACTGCTGGAGGAAGGAGGGCTTGAAGGGTGGAAGCAGAAACCCCCTCCTCACTTAGCAGCCTGCCTCCATGCACTGGTGTCGCCCGCAGATATGTTGGATCCCTTCCAGAAGCAAAGCAGTGCAACAGCTGGTCCCAATTATCCTAACTACAGTGTGTCTACATGCACAAACGGCCAGCTTTGCTAATTTGGCTCTGCGGTTTAATGAATTAGTTATTTAATAATTTGACAGGAATGCTAGTGTTGTGCTTAGCCATTTGCTTCTGTTTAATCTTATCTTTGGAACTGTGTTCGTACAGTCTCGCCATGATCGTTCACTGCTATTGTAGTTTATTTAGAGGGGAAAATGAAATACATTGGCAACGCATAGCAAGTAGCTCTGTTTCTTTAAAAGGCCTAAAAGTTGGAAATCTGTTTTGTGATAAGCTGTTCTGTTCTATATCAAGTTATACTAAATGATAGCTGTCATTYGATACTGTGAGTAATAGAGAAATTTGATCAATTTTGAGTATCAACAGATACATTTTTCAGAGGCTTCTATATGTGCACAAATATCTATATGCATGTGAATATGAATAGCAATTTACTCAAGCAGCACAGAAAAGTAAAGTTGTCACACGGGGACAAGAAAATATTAATGTTTGCATAAATGAGGAAGGCTGCATATACTATGGTTACAAAACAAAAGCCTTTGATGAAATAGCCCCAAATATATCACAAATTAGAATATTCACCTCCTTCCTAGCAAGGCTTGGCCCATAATAAATCACCAGRAGGCTTTGGTTACCAGGCAACCAAAACCTGCTAATTTATTGTGCAAGTTTGTGAATTCCAGCAGGGGTGGAGGGAGTAGAGAAATTGTTTTGAAATGAGATTTAAGAAAAAAAAAAAAATTATCACAGTAACTTGAAAGGAATCAACAAGTCATGTCTAYGTACTCTATGCATGCTATAGTGAATACGCATGCGTAGTGAATTTGTGACCATCCCAGGATGGTCCCATATTCCTCAAGCACATTCATAAAGCTGGAAAGGCTGGAGCTTTACTGCAGCAAGATGCTGTGCAGTGTAAAAGTTGATCAGATACAAACTATGGACAAGAAGCACAGAAATATCAGCAGCAAACTGACCAAAAGGGCACATTACTATGCAAAATAACTGAGAACARGTTGTAACAAGAAAGAGGAAAATTACTTAATCAGCAAAGAATTATCCGTTTCTCTAAAGAAAAAGAAATTATTTAAATGCAATCTCTAAGTGTAAGAGTACAGAAATAAAACAAATCTAGGCAGCAGTAAAAATGAGTGAGTTCTGAAAACAGACTTCAGTCTGTTTGGTTACAATCTTAGCAATAAATGCTGTATAAGTGCAATTTGTATCATATTCCTTTTGACTTCCTGTATTGTCCAGCAGAGAGTATTGATTGCTCTTTCTTGCTAATAACTATAGGTTTATTATGTGTCAGTTATGTTGCATTGTAGTTTGGTCCTAACTCAGGTGATAGCTGAAATWTTTAAATTGAATTCCCTATTTCCAAGTAACTTTTGAGTCTGCATAGCAAATTTGGTGGTGGGCAAAGCTTATTAAAAGAAATGCAAGAAAATGTTAAAAGAAATCTTTACTGATTGTCTGTCAAAGACATCTAGTGTTGCCATAGCAGCAGGTGGTTGGCAAGGTTGAGAAGGAATTATGGGCTGCGATGAAATCTCTTGAGCTACAGAAATAACTGCATTCATGAACTATGCGACTTCTAAGAATTTGCAATGGACTTCTCCTCAACCTAGCTAAAGCTCTCCTTGAAAGAAATTACTTTCAAGTGTTGCCCATAAAGACTACAGCAATTATTGGGTGAATATCAAGTCTGTCAGAAAGTGTGCAAGACATTGACATGCCAGGAATTGGAAGTTCATGACTTTGCTTTTATTACAGGGGAAGCTCCTGAGATCTGCTTTTTAGCTTTCTCTGTCAGTTCACCTCACTGGGTAAGAATGTGAATGAGCTGCTTTCCACTGCTTCCACCATAATAATGTTATTGCCAAAGATTAGCATAGAAAATGGCTCTGATTTATAACAGTATCCATAGAAATAAGATTTATCACAGCACTGCAACTAATACTGGTCTCTCTTTCTGTTGGTCCCCTCTCTCTTTGGCATAAGTTCTCCTTGGTGAGGCATTATACTCCTTTAGGGGTAAAAGGAAAGGTCATTTAGAAGTGTCATATCATGGAAATTCTTTTAGAGAATTTTAAAACAATGAATAGGAACAAGGTTCTGATGAACCAGAAACATCCCTTGTTTCATAGTTCATGAAAAACGCATAGTGTTAAAACAACTGTTTCCATTTAGAATGAAAGATAAAGTTATTTTGAACATGCAATTTTTACTGCAAAGGAAAAGTCAATTTTTATGCAACTGTAACTGGGAAACTTGCCACTGATTTTAAGGGGGTTTCTATTGTCCRCAATGCAATCCACTATATGTTCAGTGAATGTAAATATTTTTCTTGGTAAAATACAAAAATATTTTTCTCCTGTACATGTACAATAATCAACAAGGTCATCTTTTATCTACAATGCACTCTTTTCAGTTTTATTACTGCTTAACTGGATACTAAATAATGCTGACTAGTAGAAAATTTTGATGAAATTGCACACAATATAGCTGTGAGTACAAGGGGATCTAATCATGATAAGCAATATAAATTCAGTTGTTATCACTGTAATTCAATCCTACATGGCCAATTTCCTTGGGGAGAATTCAAATTAGTCTATAAGAACTTGACATTTGAAAAATCACTATTAAGCAGCAGCTTAAAGTTTAGGGASTTACACTTTGCAACTACGGAAAACTTCACAATATAGAACATACTGCAGAAGAGATTATGCTGATTTTTAAAGTTTCAGGCAAATGTATGTGGGTTTTGTTCATTTTTCCAACAATTTGAAAAAGTAAAATAAACTTTCATTAATTGTAGCTAGCTTTATACCCTCAGTGCATATGTAGATACCTTCATTTTACTCTTCAGACAAATTCYATCTTGATTGTTGTTTTTTTTCATAAAAAAAAATCACCTAACTTATTAAGGTTAAACCAAAAAAAGGGCAATTAGGATATTTTTAAAGAAGTAAGAATGACAAAGTAAATGAAAATATCTCTAACTACTGTCGGGCCCAAAGAACTTGTTCAAATTATCTACATATGACAGATTTTAGATAACATTTATTACTAAGTTCTTCATTGAATACTTATTGATTTTTCTGATAACTGCTAATAATTTTGGAGTTCTTATACTGCCTAAAAATACAAGCTAAGCAACTCAAAGCCCTATTCTGAGGTGCGCCATTCAAATCAGAAAAGCAAGTTCCTTCACGTATTATAAAGAATGGATTTAACTTGAGTTGGCCCTTTGTGTACCTCCTATGCAAAGGTTTTGAGCTTCCTCATATGGCTCTGCTTTCTGGTTATTTCCCATTGATGGGGTTTATTGATGGGGTTTACTACTTGTTCCTCTCCTTTTTCTTTTGAGCATGCTGCTTCCTTCTTTGTAAGATATAAGGCAGCACAATGCACATTTTAAGAATGCTAATGAATAATTCACTCTAGCTTCAAACACTCAAGAAACCCCTAGTTTAGAAGACTATCTTGGCATTATTGACAGTGCTGGTGCATTAGAATRTCCTTATTATACTGTTCTAAGATTCCTTTACTGTATGTGTTTGGGAGCTTCTCTGATGTCTTTTGTCCGTTACTTAACCATTACAGAATGTTCTTTTTACTAARGTAAACAAACGCACGGAGGCATTAGGGGCTAGCAGAGCAGGATATACACACTGTGAATGCCTTGCCGAAGATGCAGCACCTTATTTCAGTGACTTGTACCTTTGCTTCTGGTACTACAGGTACTGAGGGAGGAGGGCACAAGCATCAGGAGGATAACTGAACTGACCTGGGTCAAAATAATGTTTCTGCTAGGACTGCAGTACTGGATAACAAGCTCTAGATGCTTGCAAGTTTTAAATGTACTGTGCAGACAGGCATTTTATATTYTTAACAGAATAAGCTAGCACTAGAAATATAAATGCACAAGACTAAGATGTAGCATCTTTCAGATGCAGCCATTGGAGATGTCTAGGATTGTAGGTWACAGGTTTCTACTGCCATTTCAGTTGCTTTTGGGTGTTCCACTTGGCCTCCAGATGTTGTTCTGGGACATCTTGTTTCTCTTGCTGATTATCCATCACTTCCACCTTCCTAAAGTCTGAGAACATCTCAATTGCTACTAAGCAACTATGTATTTTAATAACTTCCTGCATTTAGGCATCAAATTGCCTAGCAAATTCTACAGCCATTGTATAAGCATATAAACTCCCTATGACAAGAAAGCTATAATAAGCAGCTTAGTCCTCCTGCAAATTTAGCTCCAGACGATGTTCCCCAAAATCTCAAAGGCAACCAATGACAAAACAGGTAATTTAATTCTCCAAGTTGAAAGGCAATGTTGTAATTATCAGACTGTTCTTCCTCACCACTATTTCAAATACCTCAGAGCCTCATCTCTCACCTCAATTTGGTTTTCTGCCAAGAACTACTGTATTACAAAACAAGAGGCCTGTAAGACCTAGCGACATAATTCAAATTTGAAATAGCATCTTCTGAATACAAATTTCTGGTGTAATTTTTTTTTAACAATTTCAGCTAGGAACAACAAAAAGTAATAACATGTACTATTTTATCTAAATCTTGCTAAGGTTCAAAAATACTGATATTTTGAGTTCAGAATTGAATTCATTTCTGTAATAGCTTTTACCAACCACTTTTAGAAGGAAGTGTTTGCTGAAATTCATGCAGTGAGGGTTTCTGATATCTAGTTATAGATGCAACAAGTTATATCCAAATAATTTCTAGTAGTGGATTATCTGTGCCTGCATCCCAACACGTCTCTTCTCTATGTGATTTGCTTTTCACAAGCGCTAGTCCCACATATGTGCTTTCTTACTGAGGTCCTTTCTTCACTGGATTTTAAAACTTGATAATTCTGTATATGACATAGTAAAAATGGTTGATTTATTACACCCCTAAGATATCTAGCATCTTTKGAAGGTGATAGCAGTACAGGGATTGGCTGTTAAGACGATACATGTTATCAGATATATTGTTTATATATTWTCATATGTTACATCATATCTATTTTCAAACCTGTTAAAGCCAACCCRTAACTTGTTCTGCTAGCCTCTTCACAGATGAAGGAATTTGTCTCCACACATAATTTATCTTCTCCTACAATAAAATAGWGTTCTACTGCAAAATTAAGTGCTGCCCCTCAGATAAGAGCATCTTGGTTTCTGCAGAGATAGTGCACCAGATTCAAAAATATCACACAATTCTTGGGTTTAGTGCTAGCTATGTCRGCACTGACACCCCTGCAGCAAACAGCCTCATACTTCTCAAAAAAAAATTCTCCATGCTTCTTTCAAAACACAACTTTGCCAAAGCAACTAAGTATATGATAGTTTCCTATCTTTATAAAATTCTTCTAGTTAACTTATCTTCAATGTAAATGCAAAAAAATTATTAATATCATCTGTATTTATAAGTGTGTGTATATATATATTTTCTTAAGCAGCAATTCTGACAACGTTCAAGACTTATGAGGCTGCCTATTTTTGTTTATTTTTCCAGTCACTAGGATATAACTTTAAACATTTTCTGTTGTATCATCTGGAACTTACTAGTTTTACACTATTACTGAAGTGTTTCCTGAGAAACTCTGTTTAGATCTGACACCATGAACTTCTGATTCTTTATTTCTAACTAAATTCTTCTTGTGAATTAGTGAGGAGAACTGGCAGAGATTCTTTTGAGACTCTGATCTGGAGTAAGAAACACGATGAAGAGCAGAGGGGGGTTGGCCTAGATCATCTCTAAAGGTCCCTTCCAACCTCAGCCATTCTGTGATTCTTCTGCATTCCCAAGTTCCTACATCATTCAAGGAACTGGACTATGCCTGAAGCACATTAGGTTCCAGTGCAGGAGCTGGGCTCATTTCATATGTTCTGAATTGAGGTGAACTTGTGTCCCAGGAAGCATAGCAGAGGAAGATGAGGCAAGGAGCCTTGGCTGCCTGCAGCCCACACTGCTCTTCTGTTGGGGCATAGCTCTGGAGTTGGCCACCATGGGGCTTTTACTGTAGATTTCAGAAGAGCTTGGACCTCATCAAAGAATACCGGCCTGCTGTGTTGCTCTTTCAGAAGTTCTTAGTTGCAATGTTCTGGGACTGACTGACAAATTTGCGCAATCACTGAATCCTTCAGTTGTCCCTTTATACAAGATCATTCCAATTCCTCCTTAAATTAAAAGCCCTTATTTGTCCTGTGCCTGAAATATTCAAACAATAGGCAAGCTTCCAGGTAAAAGGCTGCTCTTCAGAAGTCTGATACACATCTAGAGTGCCCAGTCAGCATGCTTGCCTTGGTCTGTACCCTTGATGCTTTGCAAGCTTTCCAGATTTAAAAGCGAGTCCCTACTGAATGCACCCTATTTCTATATAATAATTTATACACTTTTAAAAATTGTTTCAGTGTTGCTGTGCAGACTTTTTGCACCTGATTGCCTTTCTGAACATTTGAATGTCCAGAGGTTTAGTTTTGCTGACATACATGTGCTCAGAAGCAGGGAATTTCAGGTTCATCAGCTAAAATGTTCCCACTATGATTTAACATGAAATATAGTATTGTTTCCATCAGCACTTCATCAGAGCCACAAGAAGGAAAAATATAATCTGGACAAGGCTCTGAAAATACCTACTGTAATCAAGACAGTGCTTGCATAGGCAGTTGCTTTGTGTGAATATGATCAGAGAAGTAAATTTTTCACATGAGATATATCTCACAATAATTTGTAACTATGAATTTCTGCCTAGCAGCAGGTTCTGCATAGCTTAGAACTGAGATGTTGTACATTCCTTAAAATATTTTGCTGCTCTGGAAGTGCTGCCTGATCTCACAGGTTCAGAGTCCAAATTTCTTATCAATTTTGCTCCTGTATCAGGGAAAAACAAAAATGCATGTGACCTACATGACCAGTCACATTCACCAAAGCAAGCTGAAATATTCATGTCAGATGCTCACAAATGCTTGCATTCTATCAAAAGATTCAAAATAATGCATACAGGTAAATATTTAGCCAAAATCAAAAGAATGCATTTAAATCTTTTTGCCAAATAGTCTGCTAATGAAATTAAGGCCTTCAATTTGAACCCTGTGTATAGCTGCATGTCCACAGAGCAAGACTGACTTCACCCAGAATTCAGAAAATAATTCCTGAAAAAATAGAATAGTTGAAAAAAAATTGCATGAGTAAGGACTTTGAGACCAACTTATTGAGCCCATGTAAATTAGCCTTCTGATTCTAGATATATATATACATATATATATATGTATGTTTCAAGTCTACCCATTATAACTTACAGTATATGCCCTGGTTTTAATTTCTCTGAACACCAAGTCTGTTTTGTAAACATCAAAGATAATGAAAATGCCTCTTTAATTAGTCTATTAAGATGTACTGTTTATTCCACACTAACTTCCTTTACTTGTCGGCCAAGCACATGAGAAACGACCCCGCTTGTGCTGTTCCTGCTCAATGTCAAAGCTGTAGGGAAAGATGTTTGTAACGTTAGCCGCATTCTTTCACTGAGGGCTGGCAGTTAACGCTGGGTCTGGAGTCAGAAAACTTCAAAATATTTTGCATTACTRCCTGGCTGGGTGGCAAAGAGGAAACCAGGTTTTCTATTCTTGTCACATCTAGTTGCAGGATTTGCTAGAAGTGGACCTCATCCCAGTTATACAAAGTCAGGCTATACCAAAGCTGCTGATCTGTTTTAAGAATTGTTACAATCCTTGAGAGAGATAGCTGAGGGTAATCGAATTTTAACAGAAATGAATCTGTTACTTCCTAGGAAAAAATTGCTATAGCCAGATAGACCTGAGGTGCCATACTTGCAATTTCAACCATGGTATATAAAATTATGACTAAGAAGAGTGAAAATTATAATGAAAGATGGTTCTCTTAATCCCAAATTTAACCTCCCTGTGGCTTGCCCCATCTTGCACCTTTGCAGATCATTCTCACCAAGTGGTTATTAGATCGGGCAATGAACCTCTCTTTTAAGTCACTTTGCACTTGGGCATTGCTCTAGCTCAACTAATCCAAGCAATGAGAAGGAAGTTAGATATTTCATGCTTCTCTGCTATGCTCTGCAGAAAATACTTTACCCTCTGGACCAAACCAGAAAACTGAGGCATTGTGAAGAATAAAATAAAAGCCCCAGGAGTACAACTGCTGAGGTTCACCACTCTAAAGATTACCAGGTAAATGTCAGATTTGCTTGATTCTGGACCTTAATGTGTTTTGTGTGTGTTGGATCAAAGGAGATGCTACTATACAGAACTTTGTTATCTAAAGGAATATTACTCTTTACTGCAAAGACCGCTACTTTTTAAGTTTTGGTCACCACAGAAAGCTAGCGTGCCTTTATGTTTTATACTGATAAACTGGGCWTTTCATGTGTTTGAAATGATGCTACCAGACTGAAAGGGATGTCATTGATGTGGTAATGGGATCTCTTAACATGACTATGAGAGCTCGGAAAAATATCTGCCTATTCGTCAAAATATTTTCAGTTTTAAACAGCATTAGAGAGAGAAAAAGAGAAAAAAAAAAAAAAAGCATATAATCCCTCAAACCTTCAAACCACCATTTCTTCTGTTTCCAAATAATGGGCCTCAGTTACCCCATATGGTAGAAGAAAAACTGCCTTCTGTGCTCTCAAAAAATAGGCATAAAGGGTTTCCCAAAATGCACTATTTTACCAACTCTGTTCTGAACAAAGCAGTCAATGATTTATCTTTGCTGTGCACTGGTCGGAGCAGAGTCAAACAGGGGATGTGGCCAAGGTGTAAGGAAGACAGGGGCTAAATCCCAAACCCCACAGGTGATTTCACTAAGATGAACATAGAAATTTCTAGTCAGCAGCCTGTGAGTCACCGAGTGACATGTCCACAAAGACGTAAATGATGATTAAAGCCAAGAGGGATCACATCAAGTGCTCGTGCTAGAATGAATGTGCTSCCACGGTCTGTGCATATGAATTAAGGAGGTTACATGAGGAAGTGAGGCAGAATGTAGGGTGCAAGGGAGTCACAGGCTAAGGAYGGCACCGAGGAGTGTTTCAGGACCAGGGTGACAGCATAGGTACATTGGATAAGAAGGTGGGCCTGTAATCACATGTCCCCAGGAGCTTATATAGCTGTGTTTGTGAACACTTCCAGTAATATCAGCATAGGCTGAAAGTAAATAACTACATCGACTTGGTCTCTCTGCTCTGATGAGTTGCCTTGCCTTTTCCCTAGTATGTGATGCCCTTATTGTGGAGTTGAACCACTTTGACCGAGAACAAGTATCTTCATGTTACAAGGAACTTACCAGCCTTCTTGTGAATAAAGCCAAAAAAGAGAATCAAGGAAATATTGCTGATTATACTGAGATTTTTAAAGAATCCAAAACGAAATCAGTAATGTATACCAGAGATCTACAAAAGCAATAATGAATTTAAAATTCCAAGTCAGTAGGATCCTTAACAAACAAATCCTTAAAATTGCAGGGAATTTTGGCATATTCCAAGAAAACATTAAACAACTTCAGACCAAGAATTTTAATATTTTTATTCTTCTATATTTTGTTTTTTCAGTCGTTCTTAAACTCACAACAGCTTGTCCTTTAAGAGGAGTTTTAAGTGAAAGTTTGTAAACAAGTTAAATATTTAAATATTCCCTAAACTTTTCACAGAATCACAGAATATTTAAGGTTGGAAGGGACCTCTAGAGATCATCTAGTCTTTTCTTATATCTTATTCTTTTATGCAAAAGAATATGCTTGAGGAAGGAGGGGGAAAAAAGTCTCCAAGCTGGCTCTGCTAGTGTGTTGCTGATAAAATATCCATACCCTGTTGAGTGGACGTCAGCCATGTAAACAGATGTTCTTGAAGAAAAAAAAGGACATGTTGAATAGACAACCTGTTTTGTCACAGTTCTATTCAAACTCAGGGTTTAAAGAGGGGTTGCCATGACCAGCAAATCCAGCCAGTCTTTAAATGGAGCTAAATCCAATAGATACTTTCAATTACACATTTTAAGATTAGAGGCTATGTAAGATCAATAGTTATATTCCAAGTTATTTGGGCTTATTGAGAATCTGTATATGGATGTTGAAAAATTGAATTCATACCTTCAGGATAGATTCAAGTGTTTTTAAAATATATTCTTATTAAATCTTTTAATATAATTTGAAATGGCATTATGATTGTGGTAAATCTTGCTAACTTCTTAAGGAAGTTCAACTGTTTCTTGATAGTCTTACTGAACTAAGCACAAGCACCTTCTGAGAACCAATGAATAAAATAGCATGTTCTATGTAGGCAGTCATTACCACTGTACTTTTCTACAATTCTATATTGTAGTGAAGGAAGATTGCCTTACAGATAGACTAGACCTTTGGTTTGCCAAGTGGTGTAGGATTGTGCACTGTTATGCTAGAATATGATGAATTTTTGTTTTAGTTTAAAGAAGTCCTAAGTAAGTGGTTGAAGTAATAGTGTACTCATTCTGCTGCCCTGTGACTACTGGGAATGTCTTTGAAAGTTTTAAAGTCTTGGGGAGGGGATGGGGAAACAAAGCCTAAGCTGCATCTCTAACATGAACTCTGAAAACTTTGTCAGCTTTTTAAAATTAAGTTTTGCCTATTCATATGCTAAGAATCAGGCAGATGAACTGGGACAGCTGAGAAAATGATTACAGCATCTTGCTGCATTTTCTTTCTTTGYCGTTCATGTAGCTAAGCTGACACAGCCCCTGCTGAAATACTTCTATCTCGTGATACATGTATCAAAAACGAATAGATAAGATGGTTGATCTTGTGCCTTTCTTGTTCTGCCATAGGCTTTTACTTCGAACTACATGTCATTAAAAGAGCTAATGGGATTTTGGCATGAAACCAAAGGGGTGGGAGGAGAAAGGGGGGCTAGGGGGAGACGGATGGGAGCAAGATGAACTACAGAGCGAACGACTGCTGCCTTTCTTTGCTCTAAAGCGATGTCAGGTTTATCAGCCTTCTCTTTAGTCCTTCCTGACAGGACTGGAGGCACTTCTCTATATACGTATGTGTCTCATGCATTCATGAGCCTCTTTGACACTATTGCATCTTTTGTTAAGAGCTGAAAATGCAGATCATTGCTCTACCCTTCCCTCAGCTGCCATATGGCATTGTGGAAAGGGGCCCACAAAAGAAGGAGAGGGAAGAGGAAAAAAAGGGAGAGGGGGGGAAAGAAAAAGAAATGAAACTACCAGCAGATGAAATTGATTTATTTTCACCATTCGAGAGTGGGGGGTGGGAGCTGTTTGGAACATAAAACCTTCTTGCAGACCGGGGAAACAGGCTGACTGCACTGACAGCTCTGGTGTATGTTAAAAAATAACATGGCTGGAAAATAGAAGGCCCATTGTTTTGCTTAACTACTGTAACGAATTTATATGAAATGGAATGCATCATCTAATGTGAAACCACTGCCAAAGTTGCAGAACTTTCTATTTTTCCCCCTTGTCTGCAAAAGTAAAAGCCACAAAGCCCCAAATTTTACATAGGTGCAACAGTTTGGCATCACTGAATATTTTTTCTGAAATCTCTCAAAATATCTTTGGCTTTGTCTGCATTTTTGCAGAAGGAAAACATTCCTAAATTAGGCAGCCGTTAGAGCATTTTATATAATTGCTTTAAAAACAAACCAAAAACATATTTGAGAGAAAGGCGAGTGGCATGCCAGTTATTTGGTTATTGTTCTGCAGGTGTTTTCTTTATGAATCAGTAACTAAAATGTTTAAGAATAATGCAATGCTACATATGCTGTATATTATCTAAACTATATACACTCACATACTACACTTTACATTCACCGCTGARATCAGTATGTACAAATCCAGCAGGCTTTAAATGATTTTTCTCCTAGGAACATGGAGTTAAAACATAAACCTTTAAATAGCTACTACAACAAGTTTTCTTTCTTATTCCTCCCTTTTAATTTTAAAATGGAGTTCAGTGAGGAGAAACTTCCATTGTGTACAGAAAGATCTATGTTTTTTTTTCTGGAGTTTGCGCTCAAGATCTTATTTAAAAAAAAACACAGTGCATTAACCACATTGGAGTAAGTTTGATCCTTTGGTTTCAACAAACCCCAGAGTAGGTAAGTGATCCAATAGCAACAATAAGGTGCACCGATTTCCCAGCCAAGTTTAATTGTGTTCAGGAGTGTGTTTTGAATTAACTATTTTTAAGACCTATTTTCAAGTTTTGTTCTGAATGTTGGGAACATGTTTTTTCTCACATGAGTAATTTTTGTGTATGAAAATATTCCTTGGCAAAAAGCCTTACTCTTCAGTGTCTGCAAATGTCCAATTGCAAACCTTCTAATTAAACAAATAATATCTATTGCATGCCCTATTGACAGTTGCACAAACCTGCTCATGAACTTCCAAATTTTTATATTCCTGCAGGATTTGAAATTTAAGAAAATGATTGGCAAGAGTGAGGTTTAATTTCTGTCTTGTCAATTCTGTGTTGAAAGTGTCAGTCTCTTTAGTGTCCATATGCAAAATGGCATCTTCTCCTTCCTCCTTTCCTGCAGGGATCAGACACTCTGCTCTCCTGATGAAGACATGAGCCAAACATCTGCCTGGCAGTTGGGTGCTGCAACCCGCACCACCTTCCTTTTCCCCTCTTCAGACCGAATGCTGAGCACTCGGTACACTGCACTCGGTAGCCAATGCACCCAGATTTTTATTTTGGGTAAAAAACCAGACAAAGCCAGGATACAGCGAGCAGATGGATGGGATCTCAGGTATGGCTGAGCCTAATCCTGCCCATGTGGGCTGGAACGTCCACTTAGTTCCCCTGTCCAGATATAGCCTTTAAATCTTATACTATGATAAAGTGAAGAGGTGCTTCAGGAAGACATCCTCTTTACTCRCATGTTTTCTCCTATTTGGTAGATATCAGAAGAATGCATCTCATAGAAGGTTAAGAATTTAGATGTGTATGTTTGTTTTCTGGCTAAGGAAGTGACMCAAGCAATAAGGTCACTAACATTTTCCTGTCAGGACAACAGATACCAACGCAAATATATTCTCCCTGCCATAACTTGTTTGCCAACTTGTCACCAACTTTTTTACCAATATGAAAGCATTTAAATAAAACCAGAGCCCATTGATAACTGGAGGGAAAAGAAAAAAAAAAAACCTAATGCAATGCTAGTCAGAGCAATAATCTACTACTGCTACTCTTATTTACAACTTTTTAGGCATCATCAATTTAAAAAAAAAAAAAAGAAATAACTTTGCATATACTGTTCATCCAGTCAGAAGTTTTATTTGATGTTCCTTATGCTTTTAGGGACAGAAATGAAAGAGGAGACAGCCTGATTGAGGTGGAACATATGTTTATAATACTTTTTTATTTTTGGAATAGGAAAATTGCACATGGTCTCCGCACTACACAACTGTTTCTGATTCYATTAAAATGTTCTTTTTGTGTCAGCTTTCTTCAGGAACAACAAAGTTGCCAACTTCAAGGGTGAAAAACATGAGAGCGGGAGACAGTTTTCTCCCTATCTCCTCCAGAGGCAGAACTCCTCTAAAGTAAGGGTTGCAAGCGTGGTTATAAAATTTCACTGTTTTTTCAAAGCAGAATATAAGGCTTGTGTTTTCAGTTTAATCCTTAGTTTAATATCTCAATAAAAGCAATAATGTAAAGGAAAAGGAATGAAAATGTATTCTACCAGCACACATTTCAGTACTTTCAAGGAAAGAAGAGGGGCACTGGATCCTGTATTGTTATCTATAGTACAGAAATGATCATTTGTAGAATGTAGCTACCTGGTGCTATTGACTCTTGCAGAAGACCCTTTGGTTTTAGGCATCAAAGCTCACCAGCTTCTATTCCTCTAYGTATCTCAAAACTCTTGAGACTACTTGCACAACTCGGGATGAAGTCCAAGAAATACTGCCTATCTTATCACAATGAGTTCATTGGAATCCTTTTGGCGGTCAAAATCTTCTCCGTGGCATACACAGAGCTAATTCCTTGGACTGGCAAGGAAACACTGATCAGGGCTCTTTGGTAAAAGCATTCCAGTCGAGGGGAAGGAAGAGGGGAGGGCCTCTTGGTTACCAGGCTCTCATCCCTGGACTGTTTATGCTTTTTACATTAATCACTGGAAGAAACACCGAACTTGCACTGAGGACGAAAGGGGATGAATATCAGACTTGCTCTTAAAAGAGTGCCCTAGACGTTCACGCTCCACTTAATTATTTCTCTTGTGTGACACGTGACAGCCTTAACAGGAGGAACAGAGAGCGCTTCCGCCCAGCAGTTTTACCTCTGCCTTGGCGACGTGGATTGGAATGCCACTATGTCTCCCTGCTCTTTATTTCATACAGGTACGTAATGAAGAGTTGCATCTTCCGTACTGGGGTATAAGTGCCTATAGATGAGGTAGTGTCAGCGTTGCAATAACTAGGTCCTCCCTAGCTATTGGACCTAAACTTCCAAGTTTAGGAAGGAAGGAAAAAAAAAAAAAAAAAAAAAAAAAGTGAAATTCAATGCAGACAACAATCAGATACTGCTGTATCAGCAACATATCAACCTAGATTAATTTGTAATATGTGCAGTCATCTGGGCCCAATTAACAAACATAATCCATCATTTTTTTTTTTCAAATTTTACTGAGATTGTTGGTTATAATTGTACATAAGGCCTATAACAAAAAAAAAAAAAAAAAACACACAAAGAGGAAGATCTAATTGTACTACTGACAAACCTTTAGCATCATCCTCTCTACAGGCACCATTCTCAGTCCTACATGTCTGTCCTCTCTGTTTTTTTTGTGCCCATTTAATGAATCAAGGACAGATGAGGAAACGGAAAATCTTTTCTAGTAAAATCAGGGCTCTGAATGGGCAAAACACACAGATTACCAAGAACTGTTTTGGCTTATTCAAATGATGGAAAATTGAATATTTTCAGGAGGAGTCAACAAATCAAGATCAAAGAACAGTAGAATAGCTTATAAAGCCACTGTCTATGAATGTTAGACAACACGCATGTGACAGATTAATTTGAAATCCTAATACATCTGGTTGGTACTTAGGAAAGTGGATAAAGGCATTATTGTTTCTAGCTTATTGAAAATCTCTGTTTCATGCATGCAGTGTTGAAACAAACAAATAGAAGTAATGCAGAATGGGAAATGAGAGATACATGAGGTTTGGCTGAAGAAATTGCTAGCCAGATTCTGCAATAGGTAAGACTCGTATGGATGGAAAACCACAATCTCCATACCTGTATTGTCTCCTGGCTAGGGATGACTGCTTGTTTCTAAAATGGCTCCTGGATTTGGAGGACAGATTTCAAGGCAGGATGATTGAGCAAATGGCTCAAAACACTCCTGAACCTCATCGTTCTACCTGAAGATTTATGTGTTGCAGACTAACATAAAATCTCTAGAAAACAGAGAAAATATAAAATTCAAAAGATATGGTTAAAAAAAAGATAATTTCCAAAGAAATCGATATACTAAAGTATGATTTATAATGCTCATAGAGGTATATATTTTGTACTTGGATTATCTTTTTCTCTTAGGTTGAATGTGGTGGCATTGTCTGAACTCTTTCTCTTCGGGCCCAGATTTAGAGAGCAGGTTCTRCCTGAGCAACTGATGTATTTTAGCCAGCTGACAGATTATCTGTTAGTCACAGGAAGCAGAAGTGTGACTTAACCTTCACTTCTGATAAAACTGTCATATCAAAAGATTAACCATAAGTGGACCAATCATTCTAGGCATGTTTTTGAACCAGCTTTGAGTTTATCCCCATTTTTATTTTACTTCATTGACAGAGGGATTTGTAGTCACAACTGAAGCCTGCTTTTAAAGTCTTGTCTTTTTAACCTTTGGAGAATTTTTAAGTTTAGCGGACCTGACCTGGAAAATTCAAATGAATGGAGGATATTCCTGTACCAGCTAAACCTTTATTAGATCAAAAAGCAACAGGAGAAATATAAGAATTCTCGATTATGTTTCATATGATCCAAAGTATTGAAAATAATGGGAAGTAAAGATGGAGGGAAAGGGAAAGCAGTGCTTGATAAAATGAAAGGCTTCTGATAATAAACAAAAGTCACACAAACAAACCTTATGAAGCTTCCACACTATAAGCCAATAATTAAATTTCAGGATTGAGTTCACAGCTCTACCACTTGAGTTACACCAYTTTATTTCTGACTGTAATAATAGCTTTTGAATTTTTTTTTCCTCTTATTATACCAACCACCAAAAAGAGATGCTAAAAGAATATGCAATAGGAAAAATGTCCTTACATCATTTATTTCTATGCCTCAGTCATAAAGTATCTTGTCTTCATGCTAGTCAAAGCACGTGTGAAATTGTTGGCTTATTTTTGGTTTTACTTTTATTCACATAATGTTTCTCATTAGGACTATACCATGTATTTACTTGTATTTTCCAAGTAACAGATGCTACTAAAACTATTACTAGTAATGGCTTTTCCTAAGCACCTGCTACTGATCATGATCAGGTGTGAGATACTAAGTCAAACAGATACATGTTCAGATTGGGCTTGAGTAGCTGAACTTTTTAAATCTTTATTTGAAATTGGATACTAAGTATTTTTGAGATCTCTTTTTGTTTCCAAAGATTTTAATAACCCTCAATACTCCCCAGTAAGTAAAAGTGAACCCATACACTCAATATTATGCTATTACTAGGAAAGACATAGAGACAGGCACAGTAAAGGGTTATTCTCACTGTCAAAAAAGCCCTTGGTTTTAGAGCTCTGTTGAAAAGGCAAGACACAGCCACTAACACAACACAGATGTCAAAAATTATCTCTAAAAAGCTTTCATGTCATAGTTTCATAGGCCTATAACAGCAGTAGACACCAGTGTATTTTTAAAACAGAAATACACATATCCTATGCGCATGCCATTACAATAATTACATATAAAGAAGGATGATTAAAAAAAAAAAAAGGATGAATTTAAGGATGTTTTTAAGGATAATACTTTTAGCTGAATTGTCTGAACAAACATCCATAGCAACTACTGGCAGTCACATAGTTCCTGAAATAACAAAAGAAAATAAAACTTATTTCACAGCTTGCTTTTARAAAAATACTAGTAGATTTTTTCTTCCTGATTCCATAAATATCCTTCTTCTCAATGTCTTACTTTCAAAACGTTGCCACACTGATTATTGTGTGGTTGGTCTCAGTATCCCCCCTTATAGCGAAACAAACCCCCTCATCCTTAGCTTTGAGAATGTATAGGATAAATGTGCTTTTGTAGCAGAAAAGGGGAGAAAAATGTGAGATTCTGTCATTACAAATTAATGCTTTATATGCCTAAGAGAAAGAAAGAACTTGAAAGAAGACCACTTCTAAAGTTAACTTTCCTTTATGTAGATGCCAGTAGTGGTATTATTGTGATTGTGCTGAAATGTCTTGTGAGAAATCATGTGGGATAATGCAACAACCATGAAATTAAAATGGACTATTTCTGTACAGCAGACTGTTATTATGTGGTGTCTTATTTCTCAGAGGGTCCATTATCTCTTCATCACCAGAAAAATTAGGC